ATAACGCAGAAAGAGTGAACTAACTAATGTTAATGCTCTGTACATATTTACTGTATATTATAAATTTGTTTAATACAGCAGAGACCAAAGTGGATTCATTCATATGAAGGGTGGCAAAGACAAATGTACAAATCAAACCAAGAACATGGATGGAAAGCGTTTCTACTAGTGAAGTGTTCCATTGTATACTTACAAAGCTTTACATTTTTATCTGCAAAATGTGCAAGTGAAATTCAAGAGAGAGAAAAAGTTGAGAATAAATATGGGCAGAAATCCACAAATGAATAAAATTTGTAACTCATTTGCTGATCAAACAATGGAATAAAAAATCACACATAGAAAATTGGGTTAAAACATGGGATACTTTATTTAATCTGTCAGTTATTTAAACATTTCTTTGAGAAGTGCAAAAGGGAGAAATACCCTAATGCAGGAGCAGCTGGGGAAGTTGGTCTCTCCTAGCCTGCTTTCTTAGCTTCTCCTCTGCAAAAATACCTTAGTACCCAAGAGAAGCTCTTTCCAAAAACTGGATTGCTCACAGGTTACCCAATTTCTGGAATGTCAACCCCAAGGGTCCCTATCTTGCCAGCCCTAAGAATATTCTCTTTCTCCATCTATCTAATTGCTTGACTTGCAGGGGCAGGTCCAAAGTCTTGCCCCTCACTAAATAGATTCCATAGTTGCTCACTACATTCCTCTTCTCTCACCCCCCCCCCCCCCCCGCCACCCAAATATCTGTTATATGGGAAATCAATGTAAGACTCTACTTTAGTCAGTTTCCCAGTTAACAATGTAGGATAGGTGGGGGAAAACCCTGATTGGGTTCATACTCTGCAACATAGTAACCAATAAATGTATTGTGACTGCTTCTAGACAGCCATTTAATCAGGGTTTAGGCATAGATTTAAGAGAACTGGTTCATTGCATAATGTCTATAGAGGCACCCAACAAACTGGCTGGAAACTGGAATAGTGGCTACAAAGATCCACTAAGTGCAGATCAATCCAATTCAAGGATTCCCCCCTCCCACCTCTTCTGGCAAGAAGAAGCTTATCTGGCGAGAATCAACAATAGAACAATTTTTTTAATTTGTTTTTTATTGAAGATTTTGAAAGGGGGACATCGAGAGAGTGTCAATCATCGACGTATCATAAAATAAAAGTATTTGAGTGGGGGTGGGGGTGACGGGGCAGGGGTGTGAAGGCGAGGGCGGGTAGGAGGGGGGTAGCTGGATAGTGGGGATGGATAGGGAGAGGTATGCGGGGAGTGGAGGTTAGGGGTAGGCTGAGTTTGTGATATTAGTCTATTGATTAGAGCCCGATGTGCAGGTTAGTATAGGTGCTTGCAAGGTTTCCTTCGCGAGCTTCTTCTTTTTTCTTCTTAACTGATATTAAAATAAATTTTGACTGGGGACCAGTCAACTTTACTTTTCGCCCTTGTTTGCGTACTTTTCAGATGTTCTGTTAAACAGTCCATATTCATTATATCTAGTAATTTGCATGTCCATTCGTCCGTCGTTGGGATTTCACTCTTCTTCCATTTTTTGGCCACCACTATCCTTGCCGCTGTCATCATGTGAAAGAGGAGTCTGTCCTTATTTTCCTCTATTTCAAAGTCGAAGATTCCCAGGAGGAAATATTCCGCCTTCATCTCTTTTTTTATGTTCAGTATATTGTTTGATATTTCATGTATCTCCTTCCAAAATCTTTTAATTTTATCACAGGCCCACCAGGAGTGGAAGAAAGTCCCCTTCTTTTTCTGACACTTCCAGCATAGTCCAGGAACATTTTTATACCATTTTGTTAATTTGCTGGGTGTTATGTACCAGCGGTACATCATCTTGAGCCAATTTTCTCGCAGATCGTATGAATTTATCCATTTTAACTTTTTGTTCCAGATCTCTTCCCAATCTCTTGTTCTTACTGTATGTCCTATATTTCTTGTCCATTTCGCAAGACAGTTTTTGCTTTGATGTTTCTCCGTCTTCCAATCCAATAGTATCCTGTAAATTTTGGTGATCCCTTTTCTCTCTGTGGACATAATCTTATCCCATTGTTTTTCTCCTTGCTCAAAGCCCACTTTCTTGTCCTTGTTGTAGGCTTCTATTAATTGTCTATGTTGGAACCATGTAATCTCACCGTATGTTAGTCTTATTTCTTCTAGGGTTTTGATTTTATATTCTTCTCTGCTTTTCATTAGAATATCCTTGTAGCGAGGCCATTTCTCCCAGCCTAGTTCCCTCCTTTGTGTTGCTTCGAGCGGTGACACCCAGAGGGGAGTTTTTGAATAAAATTTCATTTTATACTTTTCCCATATTTTAATCAGGGAGGACCGAATAAAATGATTGCCAAAATTTTTTTCAATCAATCTTTTTGCATACCACATGTATGCGTGCCAACCGGACCGCAGGTCATGGCCTTCTAACGTCAGATCTTTTGTTTTACTTATATTAGACCATTCTTTTACCCACAGTAGGCCACAAGCATCGTGGTAAAGTTGCAGGTCCGGTAGTCCCAGCCCTCCTTTTTCTTTCCTATCAATCAGGTGTTCGTATTTGATTCTGGGTTTTTTCCCTGCCCATATGAATTTTTTAATTTCTATGTTCCATTTCTTGATTGTTTGGAGGTTTCTTATTATGGGGATAGTTTGGAAAAGGAAGATGAGTTTGGGCAGTACTACCATTTTGATGGCGGAAATTCTTCCTAATAATGATACTTTTAAATTCTTCCATTTAGATATTTCTTTGTTTATCTCGCACCATTTTGTTTCGTAGTTGTTTTTCATCAAATGCAGATTTTTTTCTGCTAATGTTATCCCCAAATATTTTATCTTCTTCACTACTTGGATACCGCTTTCCTCCTCCAACTTGTTTTGTCTCTCTTTTGTTATATTTTTTGGTAGTATTTTTGTTTTGCTTTTGTTCAATTTAAAGCCCGCTAATGTTCCAAATTCTTCTATCTTTTTGATCCAATTTTGTATGGTCTCCAATGGCTCTTCAATAACGCAGATAACATCGTCGGCGAATGCTCTTATTTTGTAGGAATGTTTCCGGATTCTGATTCCTCTGAGTTCTTTGTCATTTCTGATGTTGTTGAGCAGAATTTCCAATGTCATTATGAAGATCAGTGGGGACAGTGGGCACCCTTGGCATGTTCCTTTTTGGATTTGTATTTTTTCGGCTGTTTGTCCATTTATACATATATTAGCTTCCTGTTCTCTATAAATCGCCCTTACCGCATTTGTGAAGTGGTAGCCCATATCTAGTTCTTGCATTATCGCCAAGAAGAATTCCCAATTGACTTTATCAAAAGCCTTTTCCGCGCCAATCGCCAGGAGGGCACACTCTTTATCGATGTTTTTTTCGTAATACTCTATTACGTTAATGATGTTTCTTACATTATCCCTGATTTGACGATTGGGTAGGAATCCCGATTGTTCTTCCCGGATCCAGGTTCTCAAAAATTGTTTTAGTCTTTCTGCCAGCACAGCTGCGTATATTTTGTAATCCACGTTTAATAACGGAATAGGGCGATAATTTTTCACGTTGGTACTGTCCGAGTTTTCTTTATGTAACATTATAATCGTGGCGTGTTTCCAGGTATTGGGGATTTCTTGCGTTTCTAAGGCTTGATTTATCAATAACCTAATTTTCGGAGTCAATTCTTTTTCGAACACTTTGTAAAAGGCTGCTGAGAATCCGTCTGGGCCTGGTGATTTAGTAGCGTCCAGTCTGGAAATGGCCATTTTTATTTCTTGATCTGTGACTTCTTTATTAAGATATTCCCTTTGCTCCTCTGTTATTTTCTGTAAGTTTTGTCTTCCTAGATATTGCATGATTTCTTCCATTTGGACTTGCCCTTTCGAGTATAGTTCTTTATAAAATTTGTTAAATTGGCTTATTATTTCTTTGTCATTGTTATATTCAATATTGTTTGTTATGATTTTGGTGATGAATTGCTTTTGCTTCTTTTTCCCTATTCTTCTTGTCAGCCATGGTCCGATCTTATTTGCGTTTTGGAAGTAGTTCTGTTTTGCATATTTAATTTTCTTTGCAAACTGTTCCGTTTCTTGCTCAATCCTTTGTCTTTGGAGTATCTCTACTTCTTTTTGAGTCTTGTTGTCACCGGGATCTTCCTTGAGCTTTTTTTCTGCTGCTTCCAGATTTTGTAGTATTTTTTGCATTTGTTCCTTCCGTTTTCTGTTTCTTATTGCGTTTTGTTGTATGCAAATTCCTCTTATAACTGCTTTTCCGGCGTCCCACACTGTCTGGATGCTGACGTCTTCTGTTTCGTTACTGTCAAAGTAGTTTTGTATTTGTGTTCTAATTAGTTGTTGAGTTGCCTGGTCCTTTAATAGATTCTCGTTGAGTCTCCAGTTTCTTTGTTTTCTCTTGTGGTTGAAGATTACTTCTATGGCACTGTGATCCGAGTCTTGTCTTGTAAGGATATCGATTTTTTCTATTTTTGAAGTCAATGAATGTGTGGTCCATACCATGTCGATCCTGGTCCAGCTCTTATGTCGGGAAGAGAAAAAAGTGTAGTCTCTTTCCCTGTAATGGTGTTCTCTCCAGGCGTCTTGGAGGCTGAATTCTTCTAGCAGATTGGTTACTGTTTTGGGTAAGGTGTTTGCTTCTTTGTTGTTCTTATTGGTTTCAGTCTTCCTGTCCCACTGACTATTCATTATGCCATTGAAGTCTCCCATGATGATTAGATGGTCGTACTCTTCTTGTTGTATTAGATTTTTCAGCTTTTTTATGAAGGAAGTCTTTGGGCCATTTGGCATGTATATATTGCAAATCAGTGTTCTTTCATTGTCCACTGTTATTGTGACGCCAACTAGTCTACCCTCCTCGTCTCGAAATGTTAGTTTTGGATTTAAATTAGGGTTTATATATAATGCCACCCCTTTTTTCTTTTCTGGTGCTGACGAGAAGAATTCATTTCCTAATTTTTTTTGAGATAGGTGCGCCGAATGTCTCTGGGCAATATGGGTCTCTTGAATTGCTATGATGTCATAATGTTTTTGTCCTAATCTGTGAAAGATCCTCCTTCTCTTGCTCGGTGAGTTCAGACCGTTCACATTCTGGGAGTGGCAGCTAATTGTTCGTTCCGTCATTGTCTTGTGATTCTGGGACTTTTTCCAATGCCGTTGGTGTGAAACCTGTTGCCATGTCTGTTTTTTCCGGTAACTCAGTCCTTGTCCTTTTGACTTGCATCTTCATGCCTGGGACATATTGGAAGTCTTGATCTTCATTGTCCTTTTTCAACGTCTTTAGAAAGTCATGTGCTTTCTCTTCTGATGTAATCCAGATTTTTTCGTTTTTGTATGTGGCCATCAGTCCTTCCCCTTTCTCCCAGCGATATCTGATGTGACGTCTCCTTAATTCTTCTGTAAGCGTTAAGTATTTTCTTCTTTTCTGTATTACTGATTGCACGTGTTCCTTTAAGATAGTTATCTTCTTTCCTTTGAAATATGGTGGGTTTTGATTGCTCTTTCTCAGAACTTCATCCCTTACAAATTTTCTCCCAAATTGGACAACCACGTCTCTGTCCACCTTGTGCCTTTTAGCGTAATTCGTTGATACCCTATATGTGCGATCAATGTTTGATTCCGCATCATCTTCTGATATCTCGAGTACTGCTGCAACTATTGTTGTTATTACCTCCCTTAGGTTTTCTTTAGCATCTTCCTGTATGCTTCTGAACCTTAAAAAATATTCCAGTTCTTTCTGCTCTAGTTGTGTTTGTTTGGCTTCCAATTTGGCTTCTGCCAAGTCTATATTTTCGACTTTCTTCGTTAGTTCTTCTTGCTTCCTCTCGACCTTGTCTATTTTTGCTTGATTACTTTTTGTTTCTTGTCGCATTAGGTCCATTTCCTTTTTCATTTCCCCCAGTTCTGCTGTGATCTCATTTTTCAGCTTTGTAATTTCTTCCTTTAAGTCCTTCTTTAAACTCATCCTTTGATCTTCCGCTATCTTTTGATATGCGTCTTGCTTTTCCTGGGAGGCTTCCAACTTTTCCTGTATCTTTTGAATTTCTTTCAGGATGTCTTTGGCCGTTGGGTTAGTTGGAGTTGGTGTTTGTGTGGTTGGATTTTCTGGTAGAGATCCTGGTAAGGATCCTCTCCTTTGATCCAATTTGATCTTTGGGTTGGTCATTCCGATCCACTTCTTTATTAGCTCGCCTATTTTGCTGCCTTCTTCCTTAGCATTGAGTTTCTTCCTTTGTCTTCACTTATTTTCGTTGTTTGTGGTGCTGGGTTATTTCCTTTATCTTTCCTTATGTTTGTTGTATAGTGCGTTTATTTGTATGTATGAATATATATGTGTTTGTATTTGTTATAGTGGTTTTTTTAAAATTTCTTTATTTTGTTATTTTTTCCTGTTGTTGTTTTATTTTATTTTATTTTTATTTTATTTTTATTTATTTATTTATTTATTTATTTAGATTATATTGATTTCTTTTTATTATTATTGTTGTTGTTATTATTGTTATTTTATTTATTTACTCACTTTTTTTCTCCGTTATTTATGCCTTATTTATGCCTTTAATTAATCCTTGTGGTGTTGATTCCTCCTCTTCGTCCTTTGTCTGGCTCGCCTCTTCTTCTCTTTCGTTCTTCTCTGTCGAGTCTAGCTATTTTTTTCCCCTCTAGTGGACTCTCAATGTGTGTTTGTAAGATTTGTCTACTCTTTTCTTATCTCTAGCGTCTCCAGCATCCCCCCGCAGTTTCCTGTCTCTCTAGGTGTTTTCTGTCTCCTCCTCTCTGCTCCTTCTGACCACTTCCGCCTTCTCCCCTTTCCCAGTATTCCACTGGGTTCGCCTCTTCCGGTTGGTGCTCAGGCTCTTCCGGGGAGCGCGCCTCGTGGTCCCACGTCCTTGGAGCTTATCTTGTTTTCAGCTTTTCAGCTTATCTAGAGAGGAGGACCAGCGCGTCTTCAAGGTCGGTTTGAGTGCGCTTTTTTCCTTTTTGGGTTCTTCCACCCCTCCCTTTCGTCCCTTTCCTTTCTTTAGTTCTTTCTTTGAGTTGCTTATTTCAATTGACTTTGACTTTGGAATTCTTTTATAACACTGTTTTTATTTTTCTATTTTTATTTTTAGCTTCTATTCTCCTTTATCAATTACTTTTTTCTCCCTTGTCAGCTGTTTTCTCCTCTGCTTCTTCTCCACTTCTTTTCCCCTCTTTGTTTGACTTCCCTTCTGAGTCCAATGATTCTCTTGTCTCTTATTTCTTGCCTCTCCCGATGGTCTTTCTTTTCTTTCCTGTGGCCGTTTGTATTCGGGTAAGGGACGGGGGGGTGAGTGGGAAGTGAAAATAATAGATATAGTTGGGTCAATTAGGGGTGGGGGTTACTTTCCTTCTTCTTTTCCTCTTTTCCTCTATTCCTCTATTCCTCTTGACCCCCACTTTTCCCCTCTTTTGTGGCGATCTTACGGGACTCTGTTTGCGAGACCCGTTTACTTTTTGATCTGTTGATTAATTGATTAGTTGCTCCCTTGTTCATTCATATACGCATTTCTTTTCTTACCCTTTTCTGGGCTCCGCTTCTGGTTGGTGAGTTCTCCGGTTTTGACTCACCCCTTCGGTTTCACCACCCCTCAGGCTCTTCCACGCTCTCCGCGTTAAAAGGGGCGCGCGGTCGGCTGTTTTCCCACACCCAGTTCCCTGGTGCAGGTTCCCTGTAACAAGCCGCTGCTCCTGTGCCTCCTCTCGTCCGGGTCTTTGGTAGGTCTCCTTGAGGGAGACCCACTCTTAGACCATCGGTTCAAGGGGCTTTGGAGTTGGTGTTTCTTGGACGCTCAATCCAGTCCAAGACTGGGGGGTTACAGCCTCCCCTGCTTGCAGTTCAAGGGTTGACTCTCGGGAGAGCCCCCGGAGTCCTGCCAGCCGCCATTGCCGCCCTACCGGAAGTTAAAACATGGGATACTTTATTTAATCTGTCAGTTATTTAAACATTTCTTTGAGAAGTGCAAAAGGGAGAAATACCCTAATGCAGGAGCAGCTGGGGAAGTTGGTCTCTCCTAGCCTGCTTTCTTAGCTTCTCCTCTGCAAAAATACCTTAGTACCCAAGAGAAGCTCTTTCCAAAAACTGGATTGTTCACAGGTTACCCAATTTCTGGAATGTCAACCCCAAGGGTCCCTATCTTGCCAGCCCTAAGAATATTCTCTTAGAAAATATCATTTCCTAACCGAAGAGTTGAAAAAAAGGAACATTCGATTTAGGTGGGAGAAAAGAGAGGGAGTAATGATTACTTGGAAAGACACAAAGCACTGGGTAACGTCGGAGGAAGAAGCAAAAAAGTTTTGGAAAATCTTCAGGAAGAAAATAATATAGAGCAACAAACACCTACACCAAGATGCAAGAATGCTACCCCAGGTAGGGAAGAGAAAGACGAAGAAGAAGAAGGCAGTATGGAGGGATCACCAACAGAGGAAGGTTGGACTAAGAAGAAGAGAAAGAGAGCGAGGAAGAAATCACCTCGAGCCCCACAAAACAATGAGGATCCAAAAGGAACAACCCCAGTAGAGGATAACAAGGTAATAAAAAATATTTTTAAATGGACCAAAGAATAAAAATTGTAACCCAGAATGTTAATGGATTGAATGTTCCGAATAAGAGAAAGAGAATATGGCACTCCCTAAGTAAGGAGAAGTGCGAGATAGTTTGTATTCAAGAGACTCATATCTCAAGGAAACATATTTCATATTTGGAACAGCACAGACTGGGGAAAATGTATCATTCTTGTAGTGGGGAAAAGAAAAGAGGGGTAGCTACCTATGTAAAAGAGAATCTGAGTTCAAAACTGGCTTTTAAGGACGGGGAGGGAAGGATGTTGGGAGTTATGATAGACGTAAATGGAAGTAAAACTCTTATTTATAACATATATGCGCCTAATGGGGGAAAGGTGGAATTTGTACAGAAACTAAGACATTGCATATTAGCACAAGAGTACGATGAACTGCTGATCCTGGGCGACTTCAATGGGGTCCTCGACACCCAAATAGATAAATCAAGTACAAAAGAAAAGGGGACCAAAGGGTCAACAGGAGCTCTTCCCAAAGCATGCACACAAATATTATCAGAATTAGATTTGGTCGACATATGGAGGCTCCAACACAAAAGGGAGATCGATTTCACCTTCTATTCCAATCGTCACCAAACTTGGTCACGTATTGACATGGTTTGGTGCACGAAATCAATGGCAATCAAAATAGAAAAATCTAAAATACTCCCAATAATAACATCTGACCACGCCCCAATCCTAGTAACAATCCGAGGAGATATAAGTGAAAGACCGTTCTTTAATTGGAAATTGAAGGAGCACCTAATAAAAGGGGAAAAGAATGAAAAGAGGTATAACGAACTTTTAAAAGAATTCTTCTCCCTGAATAAGGAGAAGGACACAGCCATAGAAATAATTTGGGATGCCTCTAAGGCCTTTGTGAGAGGCCACTTTATAGAGCATGCAGCTAGAGAAAAGAAAAAACAAAAATTAGAATACGAGAAACTTAAGAAAGAACTAGAACATCAAGAAACACAAGCCAAATTGCATTGGCCAAACAAGAAAGTATTACACCGGATAGAAATACTAAAGAAACAATTAAACACTCTAGACCTGGAAGAGATGGAAAAAAAACTTAAGTATGCTAAACAGAACTACTTCGAAAATGCTAACAAAGTAAGTAGGTGGCTGGCAAGAAAACTGGCCATAAAGAAGCAATCTCGAAGAATAGTGCAGATAGAAAAGGAAGGTAAAATCTATGGCAAAACATCAGACATACTAGATCAATTTGTAAAATTCTATAAGAAATTGTACACGGAGGATAAGATCCCAAAAGAAGAGGTAATGAGATTTTTAGGTGAACAGGACATAACAAAGATAACAGAAAAGCAAAGAGAAAGGTTAAATAAAAAAATTTCAGCGGAAGAAATACACAAAATTATTAAGAAACTACCCCTTCACAAGGCCCCTGGCCCCGACGGCCTCACAACACACTACTACAAAACCTTCGCGGACCAACTAATAAACCCTCTCATGAAAATTATGAATAAGATGCTGGAGGAAGGAATAATCCCAGAGACCTGGAAAGCAGCCAACATAACCCTCATACATAAAGAGGGAACGGATAATACCAAAACAAAAAACTATAGACCAATTTCCCTCCTCAACAACGACTATAAAATTTTTGCTAGTGTCTTGGGAGAGAGAATGAAGGAAGTACTCATGGAAAGGGTAGGAGATGATCAAAAGGGCTTCCTACCCAGAAGACAGATAAGGGACAATATACGTATCATACTGGACACAATAGAGTACTATGACAGGAAAATAAACAAAGAAGTGGCGCTCCTGTTTGTCGACGCTGAGAAAGCGTTCGATAACGTAAACTGGTTCCTTATCAAAGAGACATTAAAGGAGATGGATGCAGGCTATAACTTTAATAAAGCAATAGAAACCATATATTCCCAACAGTCGGCCAACATAATAATTAACGGCCAAATATCCTCCAACTTTAAAATCGAAAAGGGAACCAGACAGGGATGTCCACTATCCCCCCTTATCTTCATCCTGACACTAGAATTATTATTAAACAAAATAAGGAAGAATGAGGAACTAAAAGGGCTAACATTAGGGAAACATAAAATTAAGATCCGGGCGTTTGCGGATGACATTGTATGTGTGGTAGAAGACCCTCTTAACACAATCAATAAATGGTGGCAGGAACTGGAGGCATATGGCTCAGTGGCCGGCTCCAAAGTAAATAAAGAAAAAACACAAATGTTAACAAAGAATATCAGCGCTAAAAAGGTAATAGAACTGCAAAAAAAAAACTGAGATCAGAGTAGTCAAAAAAGTGAAATACCTAGGAGTTATCCTAACAGCCAAAAACACTCAGTTATACAAGAATAATTATGAAAAAAATGGCCTCAAATCAGAGAAAAACTGAAAAGATGGGAACCCCTAAATCTATCTCTGTTAGGAAGAATAGCCGCAATACAAATGAACATCCTTCCCGACATCCTCTACCTTTTCCAAACCCTCCCAATTATAAAAACAAAAAAAACTTTTGAAATATGGCACAGAGACATCAAAAAATTTATCTGGAAAGGTGGAAGGCACAGGATTAGTTTTGTTAATCTCTGTGACAATAAGAAAAGGGGAGGACTTGCACTACCTAATCTAAGCCTTTATCATGATGCCTCAGCGCTATGCTGGGTCAAGGAGTGGATAAGTCTAAAAGATGAAAAACTTCTAGCCCTAGAGGGACATGATTTGATGCAAGGCTGGCACAATTATCTATGGAGGGGC